TAGATAGCTTGCCAATAAAGCGAATAACCCTGTAGTTTGTTTCGACTCTCAAAGCGACTTTCTTCTAACTTAATATTCCTTCGGAATGAGCTACGTCTCGCCATATGTTGTTTTATCTAGTCATTATTAGCATTAGATGATAGGAAAAGAACTAGCGCTCTGTCCAATATCTCAGCAAGTACATTTGATTTATTATTTCTAGTCTCCCGTAGATACTGATTGAAATATAATTATAATTCTGAATGTGTTAGCCGCTACCCAGTGACAAACTTGAATAAAATGAATGGTATAAAACTTGAATTATGACTTCTCATTTATATTACATTCGGAATAGATTCACAAATTGTACGATAATATTCAATGTTGATAATTGTATTGATCATCTTCGCTTTGAGATTATCTTTGGAAGTAATACTAATACTCCCCAAGGAAAAAACTTAATTGGCGTTCTACTTCTTCAATAATGAAAGGTAAAAGTGGAACTTCTGAACGTCAAATGAATCCAAAACAAGCAGCACTTTTCCCAAACACCAGAACTGCAATGCTGTTCTCGACGTACGTTGAATCATCCAAATTTTCTTGATCTCTTGAAGACGCCAACTTGATTGGTGAAACGTGCGTCAAAAAGGGTATTGCAGTTCTGGTTTTTGTGAAAAGTTTTTCCCCTGGATTCTTCAGTAATATACAGGGCTATTCAAATTCGTTTCTGTACATGGGGATCTCGTAAACGATAAGAGATAAAGTGTCGGTTAAATCGTGGCAAAGTTGCGTATTTTAGAGACCTATTCAATGATGTGAAGAAATCGAATATAGCTCTTTTGGTTTTGGAGGAACCAAAAGAGCTATATTCGGAAAAACCAAAGAGCTATATATTTGGAAAAACTAAAAAATCCCAAATAATTTTTTTGACTATATCTTCTTTATTCGCAGACATATTGAAAATTTGTCCACATTTTGCTATTGGCACTTGATGTGGGCTCTCAAAATATATCCATGAATCTTTTATACAGGGTGTCATCTGACTTGGGCCGCCCCCCAAGTCAATTGAGTTATTGGAATCAACACGAATGATTTCAATAACTCAATTGATTTACATTTACTCAATATCTATGTCTTCTCTTGTCTCTAAGCATTATTGTATACCCTATATTTGTTAATTTAATGTCTCATATACACGTTTTACTTTACTAGACTTTGCCTGTAAGATGTTCAGATCTTAGGTAATAAAGCATATTTTGATTTGATTTGAACAATACCAGGTGGTTGGCTTCTGTAGAATTAGTAGCTAATGGAAATAAAATAAAAAAATCCTCCAAAAATACCTGTATCTATATCAGTCTCATAAAATTTTGCAACACAAGTTCCATATTAAAAAGAACCATAAAAATAATTGAACCATCAGTGCAGATATTATATGATGATAACTTCATCATAAAACCAATTTCTCTGGTTCCGGTAGCTAAACACCCAAAATTAAGGTTCATAAAACACTTTCCATTTCATTCTTATTGAAACATAATCTTTATTGGTGAAAGACACTGACTTGAAATATAGCCTGTCAGAATCTTTATGGAAGTGAATTTGTTCTCAACTTAATTACATGATGCTTAGCGATGACATGGTAGAAAAATAGTTGCCGAGCGATATGCAAATAGTTCCACGGACATGAGATGTCCGAGTTCAGTGTTTTTTTTTTCACAAAGGAAAAATGAGCTGTTTGTCAGTTACTTGTTATATTCTATTTTGCCCATCAAAAATTTGGCCTATATTATGAGGTAGAGTCATGAAAAATTGGACATTTCGGATGCATTTGAACGATTCTGAAAGTTGATAAGACCGACAGAGGGGGGACTCGTCAGTCACAAGTCAATAAAACTGAGGATGGTAACTGCTGGCTGACATGGTCTTCTCACAGATCAGTCTGATTTTCTTCCTTGTCAACTACTTAGTTTCAATTATTGTTCTGGAAATCCCACTAATTCACTCAATTTTTGAATAAGTTTGACACTAATAAACTCTCGTTTTTTATCAGGTTTATTTACTAGTTGTCTAAATAATATTACAAATTATCGAACATACAAGCTCCAGGTATCTCGGATACCTGGAAATCCTTACTCTACAGTAAGTTTCCATCACTAAACTGAACATAATAGGCTTTGGAAAACTCTTGCACATTTTCATCGCCAGCTCTCTAACTACTAAGTAGTCGTAATAAACACGTTTGAAAAATCCCGTTAGGAAATCTCCAAGTCGATTTGAACCATACACGAACAAAAATTTTGTTGGTCTTAGCAATCTCAACAAGCATGCCCTTGTGCAAACTCTCTTTGTATCGAAACAATGGCGTTTTGTATGTTGTTGTTAGGACAAACGAGCTCATTAGTATGTTCCACTTAGCATACCCGACGTTTCATTTGTGTTCAGTTTTCGTTGCACTCAGTAATAATTGGAATTAACCGCGAAAGAAACATCCTTGATGGTGGCTAACAAAGACTTGGATAATATTCCGTTTTACTCGTTTTTTCTGACGATGCATTTGCAATTAATATGTATAACAAAGCTCATTGTCTATGATCTGCCCACGTAGCTTATGCATTTTATCGATTACTCGAAAAGCAGATCCGCTCTCTTCAGTAATTATATGGAGAGGATTTTTTCTGACCTGATTTTGAAAATGAACTTGCGAAAGTGACTCTTTCAAATAAAATTGAATGAAGGGAATGACTATATGTCTGGGAATATGCAGTGTTTTGAAAATTGTAATAAACATGATTCAAACTGTTAAATTGAAGTTAAACTGATTACAAGAATTGACAATATTTGTATTGAAATATGCAGCAGTCGATAAACCATTGTCTATAATCATTTAATTTTATCCTGAAAAAAAAGTTGATATTATTTTCTATTCAGTTCTATTCAGTCTATTCAGTGTTTTTCTACAATCAATCAATGTATATTTTCCTTGTTACAGTCAAGTCTGTATAAAATGACTTGAACTTGATTGACTCAATGGCTTTCGAATGTGATTGAATAAGATATTCATCCTAGAAACCAGTGTTATTATTGTTCCAAAACGTTCGATATTGAAGCTGATATGTTTCGAATGTGATCGTGATATAATTCTTTGTTTTGATTTGGTTCATCATTATTCTTTGGTGTTGGCTGAGCTGATAATGCTCTGTTGAAGCCTGTTTCAATAAGACAGATAATGCATCATGCCTCAACTTGACGAAATTCCCAAGCCTTTTCTCTGCTGCTGAAATAGTCCTTCTAGCAAATGACGCCCTTGATTTTTCCTTAACATTTCAGTAAAGGACACATTTTCAATCATTAATTATCTAATTTTTTACTGCAAAGTTCATCTGCTTTTGTTAAACGCTGGCAAATGACTTCGAAATAATTCAATATTTCCAGTTTGAATTAAAATAGAATGAAGTGTACTGCATAAATTGAGAATCTTGTTTTCTATTATTAGGTTTCCATGTTATTATTAGCTGGCAAAATGAAGCGGCATCATGTAAAAGCAATAATTAAAGAACACTGCGGTGATGACGTTGTTCAATTACAATTTATATATTGCATATTCCTCCGACGGTTATTATACAAATTGAGTTCTTCATAGGATTAATAAGATACTTTATGAAGGTAAATGACCATTGCATCTCAAATTGATATATAATTTTGAAATTGGGGTACAGGTGCTTCATTAGCACTTAATGTTAACATATATTCTTGGGTAAAGTCTCCTGAGTTTGGGTTAATATCATTTTTGACTCGGTTCTTTCTTCTACTGAGGCTGATTTCCACCTCACCAAAACTTCAGCTTCATTGGCGACTTGAGGGTTGAAACTGAGTTCAATATTTTCATTCCCGGGCGATATATTATATACTACACCTTTCACTTGACTCTGTTACAATAAGGTATTAGTTTTTGTTGAAGGCTCTGAAGTGATTTGAGCTATGAGTTGACTGGTCCAGTTTTTCACCAACTATAATGTTGGCCGACTATATGGCCGAGATTCCAAAACTACAGTGCCAAACTATGATTCTCTATGGCCAGCTTCTGGCAAAACAACCTTCTCTCCCCACAATTCAACGACTAGAATAAGAATTTCAATACTACTAAGTACGGTAACACTGAAAACGGTTAACTAGCATCGGATTGTCAACTTGTTTATACATTATTCAATAGAGAACAATGACTTTTCAAAAATTACTAATCTAACTTGTCAAGTAAAATAGTCGAGGTATGCTTTGACGATCGTATATCAATACCACATATCTTTGAAGAAATGTAAATTCTCTCTTTGTCTATTCATAAACATAACTAAGGCAATTGACACAGTTGACCATCGCTTGTTTTTCTTTATCACACAAAATTGAGGTACCAAAGGTAATAGCTTCAAGCTCCAATAGAAGGCAAGTTGTAAAAGTAGACGATATCACAAGTGACCACAATGAAATAGACTGTGGTATGTCCGAGGCACAATGATAGGTATTTGTTATCGTCAAACAGAAACTTTTCCAGTTATCTGGAATAATCTATATCTCATAAAGACTCTATCACAGCTGCTAGGCTGAATCACACAATACAGTAAACTGGGATACACATTTTGAAAAAGAAACAATTCAAAATACAGGAACTCAAGATGATAGGTTAGAAAATAGCGGTGATAACTTCATAAGTCATCATTCATCAGCTTTCAGTTACTATAAAACAAGGTTTGGAAGATTATCTGAACCTTAAAATTAGAGTTTCAAATATTCAGATTATAATTTTTTTTATTTGAATTGAGAAAAATGTAGTATATGATTATTAATATTGGAATCAGATACCTCGTAGCGGTTGTCAAGCAAGTTATTGACAAGGTCTGTGAAATAATCATTAATTTTACGTCAGTAAATGTATTACATTCGCGAATAAAGTATTATTTTTCTTGATACCAATAGTAGCAAAGTGCCAACCTCAGAATTCAGCAACTTTTTTCTGTTCCAGGAGTCAATCGAAGGCATCCTACCTGGCACCGCGACGAGACAGGGATCGCATTGTCCCGGACTCTGAAACAGGCAGCTACAAAAGGACAATGTCTCCCAATGGCCACGCTCTGCCTCCTGAACCGATGAACGAGTCACAAAAGACGAGTAGCAGAGAAACGATGTGGCCCTCCCACAGAACTCCCAAGAACAATAACGTAATGCGGCGCATCTCCATGAACGAGCAGCAAAAAAAAGAAAAATGTGATGATAAAGAAGACTTGAAAAGACCGCTAGTTTTACCGGACGTTCTTCCAGTCAACGTCAAACTCGGGTCTAGATCTCAACAATATAACAGGCCCACGCATCTGAGTCTCGTGTCGACCGAAGACGAGTTCGGTGCGAACAAAACGTCACCAAAGTCTCCGATGAGATCTCCTCCAGCCTCGCCGCCAAAGAGTCCTTCCAGGAATTCTCCGTTCACTCCGCTGCGTACCACGAGTTTTTCGTCACCCTGCGCGATAACCACTGCTACCACTACTAGCTGTACTTCGACTATTTCACTGGCTGTGACGTCTACTCCGACTTCTAGGTTTTCGTTGAGTACGTCCAGTTCAACGACGACTACGAGATCTTCGCCTGCCTCAGTGCCAAGAACAGCACCGAGCCCGGATTGGAACCAGTCTGGTTTCAGTCCTCCACAATCTCCCAGAAGAGCCTCCCCTCCCATGTCTAAATCGCCCAAAAGGATATCCCCTCCGATCAAACCATCGCTGTCTCCTAACTCCACCATGAAATTAACCCCTATCAAAATTTATCCTCTGACCACATCTACCCTCAGCACTTCTTCACACACCTCTCCAGTTTCTTCGCCTGTTTCGTCCCCTAGAGCGCCTACCCCTCCTAGTTGTTCTCCCCCGTCTTCACCGATAAAAAGTAGTGAGTATCCCAAGGTGATAGAAGGTTTGCAAATGATCCAGAGGACAGAAGTAGTCTTGAGGGTTAATACGTCTATGACAGATGCTGCCTCTCAGACTGATAAGGAGGAGTTGCCTCCAACACCCCTTCCGACTAGAAAGAAGTTGCAGGAAGAGATCGAATGTGAAAAACTGGCGGAAGACTTGGTAGACCATCTTCCCAGTTCAGATAGACTGAAAGAGCTGCTGGGTGAGTTGGTGCTGGATAATTTTGAGTACAATAATTTTATCGAAAAAAGGTTCAGTTTTGAAAGAGCTAACAGAAATATTGACTATTTTCATAAATATTCTATAATCCTTTTTAAATTTATCATCATTCAACAAAAAAATGTAGGAAATTCCCAAAGTAAGAAAGAACAACAATTGTTGAAATAAAAACTCTTCATAAAGACAAAATACAGGGTGTTACTGAATAAGTGTAAAACATTTAAGGCGGTGATTCCTCATCGAAAAAAGATAGGATGTTTCATACAAAGAAACTTCATTGGAGCATCCCTTGTTAAGATACAGCCCCTTGACGGGGGTAAATAAAATTTGTATAACATTTTTTCACAAGCACCGAAAAAATTACAATATTGAAATTAACCTGACGTTTTGTACTACCAAAAAGACACTTCGCCAGTAATTTATTTGGTTTACCCCATGGTTGTAAGGGTAAAACATTATTTTACGAACAACTACAGAGATACTTCGTCATAAATGCGAACTGGATTTATTTATTAAACGATTGAATAAACTAATTTATTAATATCAAAACACACAAAATGTAGAAATCATAGTAAATGTTCAATATGTCTACCTTCAGACATTACGCATGCATCTAGACGTCGGCGCATTGAGCCACGTATTCGTTCAAATATTCCTGGAGTATCTCTGATCACCCTGCACGCATCGATGATGCGGTTTCTTAAGTCCTCTACATCGCGAACAGGAGTACGATAAACCAAATGCTGTAAATGACCCCAAATAGAGAAATCGAGAGGATTGAGATCCGGTGATCGAGCGGGTCAGATGGGCGGGAGCTCCATCATTCATAAAAAACATATCCCTTCTGACGCCCAAAGGAACTTCCTCCAGCAGTACTGGATGCACTTCTCCTAAAAATTGAACGTATGCCTCACCATTCAATCAAAGAGGTAGAAAATGAGGCCCAATTAAATCATCCCCAATAACTCCGAGCCACACGTTAAGAGAAAGCTGTTCTTGATGGTTAGTTTCGACGATAGCGTGAGGGTTTTCATCAGCCCATATGTGGTAATTATGAAAATTAATAATCTTTTCCCGAGAAAAACTACATTCGTCTGTGAATTCTATCCTCTTTAGAAAGTCACAATTTCTTCTAATCATTTCCAGCATCCAATTGCAAAATTCAAGACGGTTTGGAAAGTCTCGCGGTAACAGTGCCTGTACTCGTTGAAGATGGTAAGGGTTTAAGAGTTGTTCCTTCAAAATTCGAAATACCTTCATATGATCAACATTTAGCTGGAAAGCAATCTTTCTAGTACTGGTGGTAGGTTGTTCTTCAATCAAATTAAGTACTGCTTCCTCAAGCTGTGGTGTTCGTACTTCTCGATGGCGACCACAATCCTGCGTTCTTTTGTCGAATGAACCATATTCTCGTAATCGTTGATGAAGTCGAGCAACTATTCTATGTGAAGGATGCTGCCATTGAGGATACATTTCAGCATATCTTCTAGAAGCTTCTAACCCATTTCCCTGCGATAGACCGTAAACGTAATGCATATCAGCCATTTCCTCATTTGTGTATGCCATTTTAATAACAAGTGAATTATTAAAGTAACAAATTAAGAACAGAACAACAACACACAATAAGTATTAATTCAATTTCGAAAATTCACAAACTGACAGTGTCATACCAATTTACAGTGTATCTCTATAGTTGTTCCTAAAATTTTTTTTTGCTGCGAACTGGTTTATTTTGGGCAAAAAACTCAAGAGATATTTTTTGTTTAGAATGAAACAGGCTATCGGAAATAAATTTTTGAATGGTAAACAAATAATAAGACAAAAAGTTACATTGGAAATAAATTTCAGGGGTTGCGTTTTCCACCCCTTACAACCATGGGGTAAACCAAATAAATTTCTGGCTGTCTTTTTGGTAGTACAAAAGGTCAGGTTAATTTCAATATTGTAACTTTTTTAGTGCTTGTGAAAAAAATTGTTATACAAATTGTATGTACCCCCTTTGAGGGGTTGTATCTTAACAAGGGATGCTCCAATGAAGTTTATTTATATGAAAGATCCTATCTTTTTTTCGATGAGGATACACCTCCTTAAATGTTTTACACTTATTTAGTTACACCCTGTATTTTTCATAAATAAACTGGAAGAAAAAACCCTTTGAAAATAACTGCTGTCATATGAACATCGAATTGAATCTTCCAGAGCTTTTTGGATCTCCGAAAAATAGCTTCTCTTTGATCAATCTTTTGACATAAATCAAGCCTGAAAAAGTAGCTTACAAAGCTAATGGCAGAATAACAAATGAAAATTATATACATAACATCCTGGAAAAAATTAAAATGAAAATCTTATACTCTTCCATTTATGATAAGGATCTAGCTTAACACCAAAAAAAATACATACTTTCCGTAGTTTCCCACAAGAATAAATGAATTTAATATATAATGGAACATTATAAACGGACAGACATATCTTTCATCAAAAGAATTTTACTTGTAACTTTTGAAGGTTTGACTTCTTATGATTTTATATTGAAATAGATATGTCGAAGCATGTATCGTATATTTCAACTAATCCTTGTTACGGAACGTGAATTTCGCAAATTTTCCATTACTTGACATCGAGAAATTTTCATTCAATATATGATACACATGTACTAATATAATTGGCGTCACTCTCCAACATTTTCTTTGCAAATATTCTGGGATTTCAAAATTAAATAACTTTTAATATATGTTTCACGAACAGTTCCAGCTCCAGAACACAAGAAACCTACAGATTATGTCCACGGTTTGTTTCGAGTTGAAATAACGTCAAGGCCTAGACCTTTCAACTCTCCGTTTCGAAGTAAGAATAACACACCAAGTAGTACTCCCCCGCCAACGCTAACATCAGTATCTGCTAGTAGTTCTGGTACAACAGCGATAAATAGCGCTACAAATAAATTAAGGTAGGTATTGATACAGTAACTGAATTTTCTGCAATACGTAGATGCAAACACTTGTAACTTAAGAGGTAACCTACTTCCTTTTTGCAGTTTATCACCTGCCACATCTGTAGTATCTTCGTTGGAACCCACAAGTCCTCTATCAGGTTCCTCCACATACTTCACTACGTCCGAACCTAAGGCTAAATTCCTAACTAGGTACAGTCAAGATATGAATCAGTGTCAAATCGTTAAAAATACCAAAGATCTTAGTCAAAAAAAGGTGAGTTATAATACTTTCTACTATTATAATACTTGTTACTGTTATGAAATCATTAATTTCAATATCTTGGGTCATTGGTGTAATCCCAAATTAATTAAACGGAGGTTTTGCATCCTTCCCCTCAGGGATGCATATTATCTCAAACTCTCTTTTGGATAACATTGCTCCCAACGAGTTCTCAGGGATGCATATTATCTTGAACTCTATCTTGAATAACATTGCCCTCAACGCTGATTTCTTCAAGGATGCATATTATCTTGAACTGTTTCTTGGGTAACTTTGCCCTCAACGCTGAGTTCCTCGGGGATGCATATTATCTTGAACTCTATCTTGAATAACATTGCCCTCAACGCTGAGTTTCTCAGGGATGCATATTATCTTGAACTCTATCTTGAATAACATTGCCGGGATGCATATTATCTTGAACTCTATCTTGAATAACATTGCCCTCAACGCTGATTTCTTCAAGGATACATATTATCTTGAACTCTATCTTGAATAACATTGCCCTCAACACTGAGTTCTTCAGAGATGCATATTATCTTGAACTCTCTCTTGGATAATTTTCCCTCAACGCTCCGAAACTTGTCGCTTGTTTCGATTCAGATACCCAAAGCTGCAGGCTATCGTAACAGATGGTTTGAAGAAATGGTTGCTTATGGTGGCAACCATTTGTAATATCGAGACTCACAACTCCGCTGTTTGCTGTGATCAATTTGTTGTGTATGAAATTGGAAACCTGGGAGTTTTTTACAAACTTGCGTTGTGATACAGCTCTCAAATACTATCAAGACTATTTGGAACTAGATAAATTACATAACTCAGCATATTTTACTTATAATGTTCAAAAACCACCACAAACAATACTGATAATTTGAAACATCAAAGAAAGATTGAGATATTTGGTGCTTTTCTATAGATACTTACATAGATTCGGTTGATTTAGCCCGATTGATTCCTCTGAAAGAATTGTGTGTCATAAGTATATAACGGTCCCTTTCTAGAGATCGGTATCATTTCGGAATATACTTCATGAAATCATTTTTCCGATGGTCTTTAATCTAAAGAGGTTCATATTGAATAACATAGACACAACCCTCAAAGGACCTGAATAATTTGCCTTTTGTGCTTTCGTATTCCCATTTTTCTTAAATGTTCCTTTTGAAGTCTTCAAAGATTCAACTTCAGAAGAAATATGATCATAAGATTCACTTATGAACTTACGTTCATAATTTAATAAAACTTGTTTAGTTTAAATTTTATATTCCCATTATTTCTTTAGAGATATTGCGTGAATATTAGTACTTACTCTTTGGAAGAGGTTTACTATAAAATGTCTGGAAGGGTTTTGATCAAATTCGGAGACATTGTCAACAATTCGGTATAATTGAACAAAGAATCAACGATTTCAGAGTATATCACATATTGGATTGAAAATTGCAACTAACAGAATAGGTACGGAAAACGTTACACCTTTTCTGGTCTGCTATACTAACCTTCCAAAACCTAATCACTGAAAAATGAAGAAAAACACTAGCAAGAGGGATATTCACAGTGATCTAAAAATATTTTTATTGCACACAGCACTCCAATAATGGCTCAATGTTACTTTGCCGTTTCCATACCAAGGATATTTCTCTTTCCCACACAACGTCTTCATTCAACAATGAACCAATTACGCGCTGAAGTAATGAAGATTCCATTCCAATCTATGAAAACATAAATCAAATAATCTTCTGTCAAGCTTCCTATAGCCTGATTGTTTTGTATAAAGAATATTTCTCCATGCTAGTCAGCGCATGGAGTGAATGATTTTATAGCCTTTTAATCGTTTCTTCAGGCATCTTCAGCACTAAATAGTACTAATAGAGCATTTTGAAATTGAAGTGAAATAATTGTCCTGTGAGACATACATATCAGGATCCGCCTATTTCTTGCACATTCTAACCGGTTTTCACTCTCATGAAGTGTTAGGAACTGTATGAGTTTCTTGTGAATTTTTGCCGTGTTTGCTAATTATTTTCCCGGGTCATGCCTTAACGTTGACCGTTTCAGATGCATCATTGTAAATGAAAATACGAATTATATATTACAAAACCCCATAGTTTTATTTTGATGAACAATTTTTTCAAGGTTAACTGATGGAGAAAATGATAGAATTTAGTTTGATTAGTGAAGCACAAAAAATATATTTCGCCAAACTGTAGGTTTCATCACTTCTCCAACATATGAACTGACAGACACTTCTTATATCAAATTTTGAAAACGAATTGTCGCACATCGATAACTTTTTGCTTTTTTTGAACTCAGTACTTCACTGGATTTTTGATTATTCATAGACGTCCAACATCCTATTGTCATGTACAAATCTCTGCTTCGATAAGTTTACTGGGGGTTAAAATATGTCTGGTCACAACCATCTCGCTGGAATTGCAAAGGCTGCTTCTCAAAAGCTTGAAACACGGTTTCGAACTAGAAAACTATACACACCTCAGCAACTTTTGATGCTTTATAAAGCTCAGATCAGAACTTCTTTGGAGTATTGTTCTCACCAACGGTCGGTACCAATACCAATTGAAAGAACTATTTCCAATTTGCTCCCGTTCTCACCTGATTCAGATCAAAATATTTCTGGGTCCATAATCATACAGAGTTGATTACGATAACTGATCAGGATTTGGGTATTGTGCAATTTATAATGTCACAATATAACAAACAACAACGCAATCGTTTCTAATGACTATACTAAAACCAATAATGATTGAGAGTAGAAGTAAGCCCAGTTGACAGCAAATCGGGGGCGTGCTTATTAATTTTTGAGAGGGTTGAGAATGAAAGAAAAATTCTTAGTACAATTAGTTGAAATATTCATACACATTTTTTATTTATTTCATTAAAACTTTGCAATATCGTAATTTACCTAATCGTTGTAGTCATTAGGTGGGCACTATTGGGTTGATAAGTGAACTCTTTATAACTATTCTCAAGCTTTCGAGTAACTCAAACTCATCATCAGGGGTACTAGAAAATACAAATTACAAATTTTTGATAATAGAATATAATATAAATGTAAATGTACAAATTTTCGTCTAATCTTCAACCTCAGATTCGTCTAAATCGTGTAAATCGATGATTTTGGTACACCGGTATAATTAGAGCACATATCAACTAATTTATCTTTTGTAATTGTGGAACTTAATGATGTAGAAATACCCGGTTGGTTATTCGGAGGTACACATGAAGAATTACAGCACATATGCACAAAGTCATCTTTTGGTGGCTGATGATATATTTCAAGACAGTGAAATACTCGCAGTACAATTTGTTTTTCTCTTACTGACCGAGACTCCGACCGTTTTACCTTTTTCGACGTGGAAGGCCCGACCATGTCTCCCATTTTTTGAGTAGTTTGAGAACGGTGTAGAAATATAATTATGTAACGTTTAAACACATATTAGCACTATTATTTTCACCAATTGTTTTCACAACACGTCGATTGCTGACTAACTTAACTGTAAAACGAACAATTCACGCTGTATAATTCACAAACCAATGATACGCTCATGGCTGCAAGTACATTAGTGAGGACTGCAACGATGAGATGGAAGTTACGGTAAAGTGACAAAGACAGAAATATCGTTGCGTACAGCGTTGCCACTAGTTGTAATAAATATCTAACACTATACAGAAAATAATGAATTTTAACTGATCAGTAATCAGGAAATGTATAAGTATTACTCATTACAAGCTCATTACTGATTTTTGTTATAAATAATACCTTTTAATCGTACTAGTATTGTGTATTATCTATAATTTGCCACAATTTGCAACTATACTGCTTACTATATTTTGATTCTGCTATAAACTGGTAACGTAAAATTTAGATATGTCAACGCGCTTTACACTCAATCATTTTTGGTTTTACTGTAAGGGATTTCTACCCCATCAGGAATAAGCTTCGAATCATTACATCTTGTGCTGCCATCTATATGGAACATAATGAACTATTACAATACAAACTGTGAATATATGCAACTAACAAAGCATATGCAAGTGATGGTCGTTGTATAAGTACAGAATTGTACAACAATTCATACACACCACAGATCAACACTTAGAATAAATTAATAGTGTTACATGAAGTTATACACTGTTTATAGAAACACAAACAAAACACCGAAACCTTTTGATCTTTCCAGCTGCCGACATGAAATTTAATTGTTGACCTAAACGGTCAACCGCGCCACAAAGTCTTCAGAATGTTTCTTATTTTGACAACCCAAGTTTTTGTTTTGTCAAAATCGACACAAGTTGCTGTTCTATTGTGTTTAATAATTTCGATTCAAAATACAACAAATGAATATTTTTACAGCTTTTACAAAAATTATATTTCTCGATGTGATGAATTAAAAGAAACACGAGACTACTACTTTCATTGACATGTTGTTTTTTCTTCAGGAGGAATTAGTGAATCGACTGGACAGAAAACTGGAAGTACTTCGTAGCGAGCATCTCGTCGTCAACGATGAATGCAAAATAAACGATGAGCTCGGAGAAAATGTGGAATCTCATATCAACAGGCTGGCCAGACCGCACGAAGTTGCTAAATTCAGACTGCATGTCGAAGAAATTGGAAAAATCACCAGCCTTCTTTTGGGCCTATCAGGAAGGTTGGCGAGAGCGGAAAATGCTTTGATGGGAATGTCCGATGATCACCCTGAAAGAGTAAGTAGAATTTGGAGGTAGAGTAGATTTTGGGATTAGAAATGGACGAATCTTTGGACACAACTGATTGAAGTAACTGCGTTCTTTGAAATTCAATATATTGTGACACCTGACTAAAAATAACCTAAAACAAAAACAGTAATGATTCGAAGACTGTAAATTATTTCTCAGAATTCCACAATATATTATATTTTATTATTTTCCGTACGACCTAAAATTTGAAATGGCCGCCTAGTTCTATCAATGATTCAGTATAGTTTTTACACCCAGGTACCTCTGAGGAAGAAAAATCTAAAGTAGATCTCCTTACTTCTTTCTTCAAGCTCTGCGGACAACCCCATGTCCGGGTCCGGGTCCGGGTATTTTTAGTTGTTTAACTACCACACTGGGGTCTCAATCTGCCTACGCTATTTGAATAAGCTCTACTTCAACCGACTTTGTATCTATCATGGCTTACGATTGTCCGATGCTAACCCTCCTTATCCCATACAGACAGAATGAAGCAACCATTTTATAATATTACTTTTATCATAACAAATTAGAAGTTCTTTCTCTATGTTGTTCTCTATAGTTGTGAAACTTCTGACAGAAGTGTAACACTGTATATTAAATCACAAAACTATTAATTCCTCAACAATATATATTTTTCAATTGTTTTATGTGAGTTACAAGATTTGAGAAGTTTCTATTTTGATGAATTAAGGCAAAAAATTGCCGTTTCAATTAAGAAGAGAGATATTTTGATATTTCAGTGGTTTCATATCCAGTGTTTGTTCTTTTATATTATTTCATATTTTCTCATTAAAATTGGGTTGTATTTCCTTTATTCCAGTATTGACTGAACATTTTTGATTTATAACCCAAACTAAGTGATGCTCTTATTGAGTGTCAGCGTTATTTGTTGAAAACTCTGTGTACTCACTAGACCTGAATACTCCTAATCACGTAAATGAATATTATGATTATCATTATGCATTTTTTTTTCAGAGGATATTGGAGTCCAAACGAGACAAACTTCTCGACCAGCTCGAAGAAGCCAAAAAACTAAAAGAAAGCATCGACCGCAGGAGTGTAAACGTCTCCAACATCCTGTATAAATACCTGAACTCTGAAGAATATGCCGATTACGATCACTTCATCAACATGAAAGCCAAATTGATCATGGATTCGAAGGAAATATCCGATAAGATTAAGTTAGGAGAAGAGCAGCTGTTAGCACTCAAAGAGACTCTTATTGTCACAGACTGATTGTGTGTATATTATATATGAACTGTTTGTTGTAAAGTAATGCTTTTATTTAACATTCGAGTTTTATCGAATGAGCTAGTCCAATGCCTTGGAGTCATTTTGCTTTTGAATGTCTGTCCTCCGGACCCTGAAGGATTCATGTAATATTTGTGGGCTGTAAACTGATTGATAGTTGGGAGGGAAGGAGTAAAGTTCGACAAATTTCAAAGGGTTCTCAAAGGGTTCTCAAATAATGACTGCAAAAAGAAAAAGTGAAGCAGATATATTTTATTCTCTGGTTGGATAATTATTATCATGAAGGGGAACACGTTTAAATTTTGTATTGAAGAACGTTTGGTTTGAAATTGAATTCAAATAGATAATTTAATTGTTTATTTATTATGGGGATAATTTTACTAGTTTTCATCTCTCCCATTCCACTATCTGCAGTTTATTTCCGTTTTTATGAATAATTTTAAGTTTTGGTGATTTGTTTGACCGTTTTGGAAAGAATAGCTATAGAGGTGACCTAATCTGTTGCATTTATGGTGAGCTACAATGAAGAACGAACAAACGAATAATTTCAGTGGTCAGGTCAATCATTTAGTCAAATATTGGGTCAATTTTTCACCCATTTTTTCCGAAACGGTCGAAATTTTGTCGAAGTTATGGTTTTTCAAATGTTCTTCTCAGAAATGTTTGAAATAGCCATATAGTAGGGTTTACCTCGCAACTATCGTCAATAAGAGCTTGCATTGGTATATTTGGCGATTAGATGCCAAATGGACACCTCTTACCATTTCCGGAAATGGATAAGACGGTGTTTTCCAGCAGACTAGGCTGTTATAATGTGCATTTTGTATTTCATTAGTATGTATTTTAAGTGCAAATACGGGATATTGTGTAATGAAGGTTTTTCGAGGTATTCGCTGTCAACGATTATTTATTTTATTTGTTTTATTAGTTTTTATGGATGTAAAGGTCGCCTGGAACAAACCTTTTTTAAACTATATTCCCTGAACATCTTCCTACCAAGTATTTAATATATTATATTAGATGTACTATAAGTCAAAATTGTAATTTTTTATTTTTTTTTTGGAACTGTGGAACTGGAACTGTGAGCCAATCATTGTATATATAATAATAAAGAAAAACGAATATCATGGTGCTCTGGAAATTGTCATATTATAATATTCGTAAGTTGTTACATTGTGATTTATTAGTGTGTTGAAACCAGTCGTATGTATTTTCTCAAATATTTTTAATTTATCATTTTAAGATATATTTACATTTTCAAATCCAATAAACTATTTTTTGAGCTTTACGCATTGCTTGCAGTAAATAAATAACCGATTTTGAATATTACTGGAGAAGTTTCATTTTGAGAACGAATCCTTTCTATTCATTTAAAACAAATGGGAAAATGCCAAAGTATCAGATGTATGAAGTAATAAAATCATGATCTCACTATTTTTATTAAATCTCAACAGCAGTGTAGCTGATCAAAAAACAAACAAATGAGTAATACCTAAAAAGACAAAAAATTGGTCGTGTATTAACTATATAATCTATATTACAAATTTCTCAACTTCTGAGAATTATCGTTCTTATGGAGGCGCCTCTATCATATCCTGAAAAATATGTTATCGAAATTCCCACTCAATCAAGGAAATTTAAAAAAACTGTTCAAAATCTGTTTTTCCGTTAATCAGCTGTCGCCCCCATACGAACGACAACTCTCAGAAGTTGAGAAACTTGTGCGAGCTAAGGACTTACGAGGTCTTACCTTTTAACGTGTGATTCCTAACACGGCACTAAAAAATTGAAGAGTGAAACTATCCAATCGAGATTTCTTAAACGCAATATTATTTCGCGTAAAGAAGTCATGTCTGGACCCGTCTGAGAAATATGAATACAATTCATTATTGAATTTTTTGATAGTCTTGTAAATGACAATAGTAATTTTTTTTATTTGTTACAACCAGCTTTACTTTGTTAAACCATTCTCAAGTAAACTCAGTTTACTATATTCTACTACTTCTATATTCTCAGTACTTTTATTCAATATGAATTTATACAAAATAAATAGGTCATCAATGGAACATGACGATTGAAAAATTACTGAATTGAATCATGACTCATAGTTTCACCCTGTATATCAAGAAACTTATTTTGAAGGCCTTCACGTATTTCTTCTATACATTTTTTTGATTTGGGTTCATGGTAAACAACAACGACTTTCAATTTTCTATATTCACCTATATCATATTTTTCTTGGAGGTTATGGGTAACCATTTCAATACCAAACATATCATATTTTCCAGATTCAATAAAGCCCATGAAAGATACATGTTTGAACGGAGAATTGAAATGGAAATTCACAACAAACATAGCAGTCTATGGCATTCTGAATGTTTTACTCACTTTGAACTAGATATGAATTTTTTGAAACTCACACCCTCTTTTACCTCATGGAGATGTTTTTAAATTTTAATGTTTAGAAATGAAAATTCACTTTGCGCTCATAGATTTTCCTGTAATTTTCAAATGAAAGATATTACCTAACGATGATTTGAGTTTCTTTAATGAAAACGTCTCGGTTATTCTAAATGATCAAAACCAAATGCCTCTTGGATTATAAGATTTATCAACGAATTGTCCCTTTAGATGATTTGATTTATAGCCAATCTTCAAGTATACCCACTGACTATATGTGGAAAGTTTTCTTTCTTATACGAGGAGTTGGGCAAATTTCGGATATGCTGTTGGTTACCTCGTTCACAGGCAGATGGGGCGACGACAAACCTGTTGTTTGTTGTCTGCTTCAGCCTAGTTCGAGGAATGATACTCTGAAAGAATTCGATTTTCAATTATCGAAAATAATCGACTCGATGTTGATGATAGACACTACCTTGCACTGACGAGTGGCTAAACAGCCCGAAACGGGTCTGCAAGTGTGTTTCAATAATTGAAAATATTTGCGGCAGTTGTATTGCAAGTAGTATATGCAGGAATAACTTCAGTGAAGAATCCTGCACTGACACCTGTCAGATATAATCCAACCCCCTTCGAGGTATTAGCCAGGGGAGTAGTTGTTTTCTGATAGGTGTCACTCCATTAACCTACAGTGTAGGGAGTTGAGACTGGCGTGAACAAATTGTTCCTTTAGATGATTTGTTTTTGGAAAATCTCAATATTCGGAAGCAAACTTCCCAAGAATTCTTCAGATTTGAGTAAAATCAAGTTCATTTAAGAAAATACAAAAGATGGGTGTGATCAAGGTGCAATCGATTATTTTGCACATCCACTCTAGACTAAAGAGGATCAGGAGAAATTCTCTTTTCATGTAGTTTCAGGATATATTGTTCAAAAATCATTTAATTACTTGAAACCACTGGAAATGCACCCTTATTTAACCAATTAAAAAAAATGCGGTCGGAAAATTAAAAGATCTTCGTGGGTGTTCTTGACGAGGAGATTATGTAACACAGTCTGGATTTGGAAAACATATTAGCTATAACACTACTGTACTGTTTGTAACAGTTATTCATGATCAGGAGATTATGTTACAGTCTGGATTTAGAAAACATCATAGTTGTTCTACTGTTTGTAACAGAGATTCATGATCAGATTATGTAACAGCCTGGATTTAGAAAACATCATAGCTATGACACTACTGTACTGTTTGTAACAGTGATTCATGAACAGGGAATTATGTTACAGTCTGGATTTAGAAAAGATCCTAGCTGTTCTACTGTTTGTAATAGCGATTCATGATCAGATTATGTAACAGTCTGGATTTATAAAACATCATAGTTGCTCTACTGTTTGTAACAGAGATTCATGATCAGATTATGTAACAGCCTGGATTTAGAAAACATCATAGCTATGACACTACTGAGCTGTTTGTAACAGTGATTCATGAACAGGGAATTATGTTACAGTCTGGATTTAGAAAAGATCCTAGCTGTTCTACTGTTTGTAATAGCTCTACTGTTTGTAACAGAGATTCGTGATCAGATTATGTAACAGCCTGGATTTAGAAAACATCATAGCTATGACACTACTGTACTATTTGTAACAGTGACTCATGATCAGGAAATTATGTTACAGTCTGGATTTAGAAGAGATCCTAGCTATTCTACTGTTTGTAACAATGATTCATGATCAGATTATGTAACAATCAGGATTTAAAAAACATCATGGCTGCTCTACTGTTTGTAAGAGTGATTCATGATTAGATTATGTAACAGTCTGGATTTAAAAAACTCTACTGTTTGTAACAGAGATTCATGATCAGATTATGTAACAATCTGGATTTAAAAAAAATCATAACTGCTCTACTGTTTGTAACAGTGATTCTTGATCAGATTATGTAACAGTCTGGATTTAGAAAACATCATAGCTAATCTACAGTTTGTAACAGTTATTCATGATCAGATTATGTAACAGTCTGGAAACATCATAGCTATGACACTACTGTACTGTTTGTAACAGTTATTCATGATCTGGATTTAGAAAACATCATAGCTAATCTACAGTTTGTAACAGTTATTCATGATCAGATTATGTAACAGTCTGGATTTAGAAAACATCATAGCTATGACACTACTGTACTGTTTGTAACAGTTATTCATGATCAAATTATGTAACAGTGGATTTGGAAAACATCATAGCTAATCAACTGTTGGTAACAGTGATTTATTATCAGATTATGTAGCAGTCGGGATTTAGAAAACATCATAGCTGCTCTACTTTTTGTAAGAGTGATTAATTATCAAAGGATTATGTAACACTCTGGATTTGGAAAACATCATAGGTGCTCAACTGTTCGTAACAGTGATTCATAATTAGATTTATAGTTTGGATTTATGAAACATCATAGTTATGAAGAAGAAAGAAATGAAAATGTCTATGTTTTTTACCACTTTTATTTGTAACTAACGTTACTGCAGTTTTGTCCTATACGGACATTTTTAACCTTATACAATATTGTATATACTTATACTTATTGTAAGTTACGGACATTTTCAACCTTATACAATATTGTATATATTTGTGTTGATGTGTTAACTATCAGTTTTAATACGTCAACTACCAGTTTCGTTACGTCAATTGCAAGTTCTGTGCGTGAACTGTCAGCTGAACGCTTCTCAAAAAAGTGAATTTTTTTTACTAAACCATCGCCAGGAACAGCACCGACAAAAATTTTGAAAAATGGCACTCATGAACCAGACTACATTCCTCACGGCTCCTGCGCTGCTTCGGCTTCCGTCGGCTCCTCCAGTGCCAGGAAAGTGTTGCACATTCGACTCGATCAACAAGTCTATCCTGGCCGCGGCCGCAGGACAAGCTCGCTCGCTGCAGGATTTCGCGCGTGATCTGCAGTGATGTCGATCTCGGTGAGACTGAAGCAGTTCCAAATACCGAAGTGTAAGGGGGAAAAACTCGCTAAAGTTGAATTCAGAGGTATGTTGAACATGCAAGAAAAGGTGCTGTTTTGCATCCTACAAAAACTGTTCATATCTTTTCCGAAGATAATGACCAAACAAATTATCAACAATAAACCAACGAATATCAATAAAAACCTTTGGGAAAATATGAATTTCATAATGTTATTTTTAAATACTGAATGAATGAAGGGTACTTCTTCTATAGATGTATGTACAAAAATATTTTTCTCATTCTTACAAAAAATGTAGTAATCTTCCAAATAAAGGAAAAAAGCAATCAATTTCGAAATAAAATGTGTAGATCATGCAAAGAAGTAACTATCAGATACAAATTTGAAGAGAAAACTCTCTCCAATTATACAAAAATCACTTTCTCCCATTCACTTACGATGGACTGTTTGGAACCTATTGGTGTATTAATGAATATTACTGAAGTTTCTTTTTTCCCAACACCAAATCGTTATTTTTAACACCTCGACATGTTTTTCGATTACCAAGTGATCATCTTCAAAGAGGAAAGAGGAAGATTAAAACTGTTTTAATAACAGTTTTAACCTTCCTCTTTGAAGATGTTATTAAAACAGTTTTAATCTTCCTCTTTTCTCTTTGAAGATGATCACTTGGTTTCAGTATTATTCTCCCATTCAGTGTCCCGTCTTTTTGTCTTAAATTAATTCAATAGTCAGCTAAATCTGTTGTTAACTTGTCTAACTAATCTCAATGATTTAAAGTCTATGGAATGGTTTCCTTGCAAATCATGATGGGCGACTGCTGATTTTTTTGGTCTTCCATATTATAGGTGTGCTAAATGTTCCTTATGTATTATTTCAATAGATATTTCAGTCTAGCCATAATATTTTGTATCACAGTCCTTAAATTTGATTTCGTAAATTCCTGATTTTCCGAATCCTC